GGTAAGCATGCTGTGCAGGGCTCTTGCTCAGTCCCCACCGTGCTGCACGCTGCACAGGCAGATTTCAGCTACTTCCCAAGTCCAGTGCATGAAGTGTTAAAGGGAGAGAAATTGCAGACTTCTTCCTCTTCTGCTTTCAGGAGCTTTCCATCAATTTTCCTTCTCCCTTTTTCTTTTCTCTGCACTGCACTTCAGATGGAAGCATCTGGATCGAAGAGAATTATCTCTTAACAACAACTTGGGTTGTAGTACATTTCAAAGACTCAGGTTTTATTAGTCACAGAAGACCTTGTAAAAGTTTGCTTGGGATCATTTTTAACAGCAACCAATAATCCTGCCCCAATCAGCCAATGAAAACTAACCCAGCCCTCCCCCCAGCTCCCGCACAGATGTGTCTTGCAGAAATACAGTTATTTTGGAGAAGCAGAAGCGACATTTTAGCCAAGCTGGAGGTTTTATCCATCCAGTAGCTTACCCTAATACGGACCTAATTTTCTTCTGGGAGCTACCTGAACGCTAAGCATGCTCGATGCTCAGTTGGCATAATACTGTTCGGAATGGTCCATATTGCATGAGACTTCCCGTTTTGTACCTTTCTGTCCTCGGTCTACACACAGCCAGAGGAGACCTGGTTGTGCTGCAAGCCCAGACTATGCTCTTGCACTTTCCAGGTCAGATGATTGTTTTCATAAAGGTGTATTAATACAATCAGTTAAAAAGCAAGCCTGGAAAATCCTTTTGCCCCTTCTATCTGCAGAAAAAAAAAAAAAAATAATAATAGAAAAAAAAAAGGGGGAGATTACAAAGCAGCATTCCCTGCACTGCTAACTGCTTTGGTATCCAGTGTCATGTTCAGTCTGCTAAACCAAAAGTCACCTCCAGCAGTTTGTTAGTCATAAGGAAAGATAATATATGGGGAAAAAGAGGCAGAGGATGACAAATGGGTTCTGGGGATGTGGTATGCCATAATTCTTACAAAACTACAATGAAAGCTGAGCACATTCAACAGCTTTAAAAATCAAGACACTCCTCTAAGTGCCTAGGTGCAGATTTAGGAACTTCAGCTGCTCAGGTAGGAAGATTTGGGCCAAATAGCCCAATTCTGCTCTCTGCAGAGTGACTTCAATAGAACAAATTATTATTTTCATCAGTAGAATTACACTGATACATGCAGGTAAACTATAGCACATCTTCTGATCCATTTCTGACAAATAAAGATATTGCAGTTGCCCTTTTCTAGTGCCAACAAAAAGTAGTGGAAAGGTATGAGCTACAGGAATGTAAACCTGAGCTGTCATTAAAAATCAATTTTCATGACAAATTTAATTCACGTTTCACAGAGAGCTGTGTAATATCAATAAAAATGTTTTAATAATTGCTGTGCTGGCACTCAGTACAGTGTAAGACATAAAGAGATATAAATTTTTTATAATTTAGAAGATGTGGAACAAAACACTTCTTTAGAAGAAACCCTTTCTCAGGGAGAGAAATTAATTCTGGAGGAGGATGTAATTTATTAGGAATTCCACTTCAGCCCCCTTTACAAAGACTGCTCTGAAATTAAAACTTTGAGAGATCGGGTTTCTAATTTATTCGTAGAGTTAAAGGCCAGAGAGGACCAGGATCAGGTAGTCTGACCCCTTGGATAACCCAGGCTATTACTTTTCACATAGTTCTTCCACATCATAACTTGTGTTGGGCTAAAACATAGTTTTACTTAAACATTGGTTTAAAATGCTGGGAAAACACATTCTTGTGTTTCTTTCACATGCTTTGGTTAAGGTGGGAGAGAAGAAAAAAAATCTGAATCGATTAGAACGCTGTGACACACTGACAGAATTGCTACAGCATGCAATAGCACTATCTGAATTTGGCACCATGGAAATATAAACAGTTGGTCTTTTCTGGTAATAAAAGCTGACTGATTCTCAGAGCAGATAGGTATGCTACCTATTTAGGAATGTGGTTTTGCGAATAACTTTCAAAGGGACCAAAAGGGCAGCTATACAGTTCCAAATCTTACCGTCATGTTTGAAAATCCCATTTTCAAACCGAAGTAAGAACGAGCTGAGAGCTAAATGCTGAATTTCCTGAAGTCACTCGCAGTTTTCTCATTTACATGTAATTGAGGTCTGAATTTCACCCTAGAAGATCAGTTAACTTTTTATGATGCCAAGTGAAGAACTCTAATAATACTTGCAATTTGTACTTTGCTTCTGCACAGAATATAATTCATTACCTTTTACTCCTCTTTTTTTTTTTTTTTTTTTTTTTGTAAATCTTTTTGTTGGTGTCCCTTATTTTTGTTCCTTTACCAACATGAATATTTGTGATTGTTTCAAACTGAATGCCACCTCCAAATTTCCTTAATGTACAACTTATCTGATATTTTAGAGTAGATATTCAACAAGATAGGACTACAGCATCAAAACTTCTAGGATCCTCTACACACACAGACACAAGCTCTGATATTGCCACTCACCGCCATGCTTTCCAGGTTCACGGTCAATACAGCATTTGTTATACCCACATAACTTTGAGTCACGTTTTCAAATGAGGCTTCCTGAAACCCAGTGACATCTGCTTTGCTCCCTGTACTTGCAAATGCAGCCATTCACAAATGTTCATGCTACAGGATAAGGAATCTTAAGCAATTAGAAGCACAGGTTTAGTCAGCTTCCACTGGAGTGTTTATTAGCAAATCCCGGGGAACTAGTGGGATCCAATTTTGTAATAGTTTCAGACGAAAACAAACAACCAAAAACTCCTGAGTTCATCTGGCCATACACAATAAACATACACAGCTTTATTGCTCATGACTCCCGCACTCTCCAGGGACCAAGTTTTCACCTGCTGTAAATTAGTGCAGATCCGTTCGAGTCAATAGATCAAGACTGTAATTCTGATATTATTTCTGCTCTGATTTTTCTTTCTGATAAAATTACTGATTTTTTTTTATAATTATTATTTTTAATTATTTCATAATTCTATTTTAACCTATTAGGGAAATAAGATGCAGATTAAATTGGTTTTTCTTTTTTTTTTTTTTTCTTTTTTTTTCTTTTTTTTTTCTTTTAGCTACAAAATCCAAACTTCATCTCCTCTAGGCCAGCTAATCTATCTAGCAATGTTTTCCTGTACCCCATGATCTCCCAGTATTGATAAGGACGGTTATACTGTTGTTCTTATTCCCTAATGATAGAATGCAAGAAGCTTAGAAAAGTTATTCAGATACTGCCTGTCTTTGACCACTGCTGTCAGAAGGATGCAGATGCTGGCAGTCTACATCAGACTAGTGGTCCATCTACTTTAGCCTCCCATCTCTTACCTTTTCTTTTTTGTAAATTTTGTTGTGTTCTCAGGCATTAAAATGTACATTTCCCTCAACCACTTTATAATCGATATTATTGTCACTCTGAAAGTTCTCATTATTCTTGACCTCGGAGCTGCCTTGTGGCTGTGAGTTCCACCGATTAGGTGTGTTTGTTAATTTGTGAAAGGAATGATTGTCTGTTCTCTGTGTATTTTCTCTTGACATTGTTCTGGAAACGTGTCTTCTGCTAGATTTCAACTAACTACTTTTAGTTCTTCCTTTATCATTATTCTCGTACTATTTATTTATTTTTTAAAGGTCACGGGTTTCTGTTTTTCCTTGTTGATTAACTTTGGGTGCTCCTTTTTCTCCTTAACTGTTTCTGTTTCAAACCACATTCTAGGAAAACACCTTTTAAAACACCCAGTCTATATCTTAGCTATGAAGCTAAACAATCTGCTCTTATAAGCAATACATTTGTATACGCAATACAAGTTGGAGTAAAATTGTTTTAGTTTTATGGAACTGTTGTTTTAAATTCCTCTGCCATCCATACAATCACCCTGGCTTTTATTTTGTATTGGAATTTTGGTTCTCATTATTTCTTATTCTCATAAATGCAATGTTAGACCAGGGTCTAAACAATAAACAAAAAGGTCCTTTTTCCATTTCTCTTGTGTGTTTTTTGTTTGTTTGTTTGTTTTGTTTTGTTTTTTTTTTCATTTGCAGATCAAACTCCTGAAATAATAATCACTGTCATAACATGGTAGACATTCTGCTATTTTAAACTACCCATCTTCTAGAAAGATGCTATCCTCAGAAAGACACATTTGCCTCCGCTGTTTTAAATTCCTAAAACTTAATGCCAAAAAACAGTGCAAATGACTCTTGCTAGAAGCAAGGTTCTTGCCATTTCTTCAAGCAATGAATTACCTCCTGATTTTCACGTTATTTCAAAATATCCTTTTCAGATAGGCATGCCAGGGGCTATTTCTAAGAAAACCCCTTTTAGTGTTATTACTGTGCAGATTTTGTTTTGCTCCAGTGCATAATGGTGATACAGAAATTGCAGTTGTTATTTTTTTGGTCTGTATTAACCCTTCTCTCTTCATTATTTAGGACTAGAAATATCATAAAGCTTTTGGTGTCTGCCTCAAATCAGAAAATTATAGATCTGTTAGCACACATTCAGCAAGTCTCCCTTCTGTGGGTGTTAACCGAATAACTACGAACACCCAGTTGTGAGTACACTAGTCATTAACCTCAAAAACAGTGAGCTCAGCACGGTACCAGAGCATACCAGTGCCTGTAAGACACAAAAAGCTGTTTTCTCTTGCCAGATGCCAGGCAAGATGTATTTCTAGAAAAAAGGCCAACAGGTGGCCTAAGAACAAATGTGCATGGAGGTCTGCTGTACCCTTCCCAGTAAGATCACTTGAAATGCTCAGCTGGAGGCAAGAACACACTGGAGAGAGAACTTCCTGAGCATCTGTCTGAGGTTCTGTGGAACAGCAAGGCCTACTTGCCCTCCCTCCCAAATCAATTAAGGTTGATGGAAATGCTCCTGCTGGTGCTAGATCACACCCAGAAAAGGGATAATTTGCCTGTAGTGTACACAGGGAGGTGACCAGTGATTTCAAATGCTTGATACTTCCCAGAAGAAAAATGTTTTGTAGCAGAGAATGAATTAGATGGATGTGTTTTCATTTTTTATTTTTTTTCAGTAGACATGCAAATCTACGGATTTGTTTCTATAAAGAACGTAAAATAAATCACACACCATTTCTGTTTTCCACATACGTGCATTCAGGAACAAAACAGACTGAGCAGACTTTCAGCCATGCAATGAATGTCAGCAGAAACACATCCGACTACAGGTCTCTTAAGTCACTTTAATGGTGATGGATGTGCAGGAAACTGTAATCAATTACATTGCCCTGGAAATTACATAGTTATTTTCCAAAAAGCCCAACAGGTAACAGTTGTTTGATACAGTAGAGCTTAATATTTCTCAGAAGACAGAGACTTTGTAATATTTGAGCTTGCCTGTACACACAAATTGCATCACTTTAACAATACCCGTACAACCTCTTCTGTATAGTCAGATTATATAGACCTGGCAGGCAGCTAGAAGTGAGACACAAGAAACTGAAGCAAGGTAGCAAAACGTAGCGTTGAACAGCAAGAAATCTGAACAGGGAGATCTAGGGTCAGATCTAGGAGGTGATGTTCTCCAGCTTGATATTTGAGAATGTTTAAAAACCAGCCATGTGCCTCTGCAAGGAGCAGCGTGGCCTTCTGCAAGGTACACACTCTTACACTATCAGGTTACCGACGGCTTTGTACTTCCTTTTCTTTTGGTTCACACCCATACGTAGCAGCTCAAAAGTCACTGCATACCACACGGGAGATGTTGTGTGGAGAGCGGTGGCAAAATGTCATTTGCCTTCAGGAAAAGAAAAAAAAAAAAAAAAAAAGGTATATCCAATTCCCAGTATTTTGTGTGAGCGGTTAATATTCTTATTCTTATTAAAATATATTAAGGATATTGCTTGATCAGAGTGGCCCAAGTGTTAGGGTACAAAGTAAACAACACATTACACAACCAAACAGAGCATCATCCCTTGAGAGTCAGAGCAGCCCGCAGGGAGACTGCTGGAAAAACACACACTGGAGCTCTCAGCCCATGTGCCGCTTGTTGTGGCCCTCCTTGGTGTCTCAGCGGAGCAACGATTAGCAGCTACAGCAGGCAGCAAGAGGCAGACCAAGGAGCCCGTAACAAGCTTCTTGTAGAGATCTTGTAGAGATAGTGTTAAATGATTTCCAATTCTTTTATTTATTTATTTATTTATTTTTCCCCACCTATCCCCCCAATACGTTTCAAACCCTGCAACAGCCTGCTCATCAGGTGGACAGAGGAAACCCCAAGGTGTGCTTCCACAGCCCCGCTTCTCTGCCCTGAGCACACCAGTTGGGTTCTCCTCCTCACCTCGCTCCTGCTGGCTGTGGTTTGTTCCTCCATCTTCCATCCTAGCAAATCTTCTCGTCCTCCCAGGTCCCCGCTCCTAATGCAGACCCAACGGCTTCGCCTTCCATGCCTCTTCCCTCAGCCCATTCCCCTGTGGAGGAGATGGAGGAAGATGAGGATGAAAAGGGTGACCACGAGCACAAGCTCAGTCATCGGGTGCTTGGAGCTCAGTTATCGGACACTTGTCAGGGCTCCGGCCATGAGGCGAGGCAGGTGATGAGGGTAACACGTCCCTGCCGCCCAGCAGCGGTTGGAGCTGAAGGCGAGGCGGCCGCTGGCTCCACACGGGCAGGGCACCATGACGGAGGGGCGGCCATGTTGGGGCGCTGCCCCCACGGGCGGGGGGCTCCCCTCGAGGGGCAGCAGCCACGCCGCGTCCCCGGGGGGCGGTGCGGGAGGGCACCCGAGGGGGGGGCTGCGAGCCGGCAGGGGGGGAAGCAGACACGGAGCGGGGACACGGGACGGCGAGAACTGAGCCCAAACTCGACGGGAGGGGGGGGCAGCGGGGCGGGAACCGCGCCACAGCCGGGCGGGGGGGTGCGGCCGGGCCTCCCCCTGCCTCCCGCCTGCCCCCACCCGCGCAGTGCGCAGGCCCTGCGCGCATGCCCGCGACTTATTTCGCGCGGCCGGGGCGCCGCATTTCGCGCGGCGGGGAGCGGGCGGCGGCGGCTCCGGCTCCACGTGACCGGCGCGGAGCGGAGCGGGGCCGGGCCGGGACCGCCGGGGGCCGGCAGCGCCGGGGCCGCCCCGCAGCGCCCCGGGGCAGGGGCTCCCTCCGCCGCCCCCCCCTCCCTCAGCATCCCCTCCAACCTCCTCCGCCAAGCAGCCCGGGGGGGGCCCGGCCCGCTGCACCCCCCCGCGGTCGGGGCGAGGCAGCAGAAAGCGCGCACCGGTGCCGCCGTCCCCGCTGGAGCGTATTCGAGCCTCATCAGCACCTTTTTTTTTTTTTTTTTTCTTCTTCCTCCTTTTTTTTTTTATTCCTTCTATTATTTATTCTTCTTCGCCTCTGGTTGCTTTTGGGGAGGGGGCAGCCTCCTCTCCGCTCGGATTTATTGTCACCAGCACCCCCCCATCCCACCACCCCCCCGCCCACTCCTCGCCACAATTAATCCGATGAATTTGTCGTGATTGATCCGTATTAATAGCCGGGGTGGGTGGGCGTGTTTTGGTGTGGGTTTTTTCTTTTTTTTTTTTTCTTTTATTGTTTGGTTCTGGTTTTTTTTTTTTTTTTTTTTTTTTGGAGGGGCCGGGCTGGGATCCGATCTCCGCTCCGGAGTCCAGCCCTGGTCGGTGCCTGAGAAAATCGCATCTGGACGCCTCGTTATCATTATTGTTGTGTTTGATCCGCGCAGATAAAGGCGGAGGGGAGAGCAGTGCGTGGCGGCGGGGAGGGGAAGGCTGCACCCTTCCCCGCACACACACACACACACACACACACACACACACGCAGACAGAAAGGGAGCTCCAGACATCCAGATATATTTTTTTTTTCCACCCACCCCCCTCGGAACTTCTTCTAGTTGGGGAGGAAAGGAAGAAAGAAAATAAATTTTGTGCAAGGAAATACTCTCAGCTCCCTCCTTCCAGCGGGTCTCTCTCCTTCTTTCTTTATTCCCCCCCTTCTTTTCTGCTTTTTTTTTTTTTCCTCCTCTCTTTCGGAGATCCTCGCCCTCCCAGCCCCTTGATCAAAGCATTCCGCTATTCTGATTTATTGCCTGCTTGGAGAGGCTTTTTTTTTTTCTCCTTTCTCTCGCTTTTTTTTTTTTTTTTTTTTTTTTTTTTTTTTTTTTACAAAGGCGACCTGAGATCAGCCATTACTTTCCTTGGCTCGCTTATAGGAATCTCTTACATTTGGTGCTCGCTGCTGGTGGCGGTGGAACCGCGCTCGGATTCTTTCATCCCCCCCCCACCCCCCCCCACCCCCTGCCCGTCCTCCCCTCCCTCCCTTTCTCCTTCCCTCTCTCCCTCCCTCCCTCCCCCGTTATTCCGCCGGGGGAGCCGGATCCGCGGCGGCGGCGGTGGGGCGGGGGGGGCCGAGAGCCAGCGGGAGAGCCGGCCAGAGCCATGGACGGCCCGGCGCGATGCAACGGGCTGCGGAAGAAGCGGCGATCGCGCTCCCAGCGCGACCGGGAGCGGCGAGCCAAGGGCGGCCGGCGGGGCGCTGCCTCCGGCGGGGCCGCCGGCCCCGGGGCCGCCGCGGCGCTCTCGTCCTCGGGCTCCGAGAAGGAAGACAATGGGCCCCCGGCGCCGTCCCGGCCGCGGCCCCCCCGCAGGAAGCGGCGGGAGTCCTCCTCGGCCGAAGAGGACATTATCGACGGCTTCGCGATGGCCAGCTTCGTCACTTTGGAGGCGCTGGAGGTAGGAGCGGCGGCGCTTTGTGTGCGCCTCATTGTGTGCGGGGGCGGCCGCGGGGGGGCCCCCGCCCGCTGCCGGCCGCCCCCGGCCCCTGCGACCCCCGCCTTTGGGGCCGGGGGCGCCCCCGCCGCCCCTTCGGACCGGCCCCGGCCCCGGCCCGGGGACACCTGCAGCGCGGGGACCGCGGCCGGCAGCGGGACCCCCCCGCCCCGGCGTGTCCCCCCCCGGCCGGTTGTGTCCCCCGCACCCTGCTGTGTCCCCCCGCGTCTCCTCGTGTCCCCCCCCCCAGCCGCTGCCCTCCCCCGGAGCAAACTTTTCTCGCCCGGTGTCCCGGGGCCGAGCCCCCCCCCCCCCCGTTTTTCTTCCATCCCCCCCTTGGCACGGGTGGGCGGCGCGGCCTCCCCCGGGGGGGGGAGCGGTGTCTGTCTGTCTGTGTCTGCCTGTCCCCAAAATAAAGGGGGGCGGCGCCTCCTCTCCCGAGGGGGAGCCCCGGGCCCGGCCCCCCCCCCCGGCCGCTGTCACCCCCCGGGGGCTCGGGGTGGGGGGGTGATGCCGGGGGAGCCCCGGCCCCGCTGCTCTCGGAGGGCTTTGTTGTTCCTAACTTCTGCTCGGGAGAAGTTTGCGTGGTGAAAGGCAGATTTATTTGGGTTTACATGCACTGGAATCACAACTGTAACAATTATGAACTGTCAAAATAAATGCGAAGATGAAGCTGATTGTTTAACAAAAAAATCTGTGTAGCTCTTAAGCTGTTTAAATATTTAGCCAGGAATACTTAGTGGCATTTTCTGGTGTTGGTTTTTTCTTTGTTGTTTTTTTTTTTTGATTTTTTTTTCCACCCTTTGGAGCCAAATTTTGTCCTTGGTTACACCTGCACCAGCCCAGACTCATGTCTGGCAGAGATCTCCTCCCGGTGTAAGCCAAGGGAGGATCTGCTCCCCCCGAGAGCCTCCGCGTGGCTGGCGAGAGGCTCGTGTGGGTGATGGTGAACCAGTGCTGGGGATGGCCAGGCTCCCCGCTGCCACCCCTCTCACCTGGTGAGCCCGTCCACCAGTGTCCTACGTGAGCCGTGGAGAGGAGCGTGGACGTGTCTTTGTCGGCAAGAGTGGGATTTGCAAGCTGAGGATTTGGACAAAATTCTCTTCTTCCTCAAACAAAGCCCCGGTTCGTGTCGTTAGGGGTTTTGTGGGAATATGGACTCGAGAATTTGGCCGTAGCCCTTCCTGGAGGGGAATCGAGGAGCAAGTTTTATGTTCAGAACTTGTAGGGTGTTTTGGAAAAAATGTCTTTTGTGTTTCACTCCTTATTTATTTATTTTCCACTTGAAATGAAAATTGCTGTGCTTTTTTTCCCCGTTACAAAGCCAAGAATGGCTACTACTTGCATCCTGTTGTAATCCTATATCGCTAAAAAGGAGCACAGAAACATTACCCAGTTCTGCCAGCTAATATCACATTCAGATAAAACAATAGCTCGCACACTGAGACTTGACATACTTTTAATGTTCATGTGATAGGTGGCACATTTTGACCTAACGATTTCATGCTGCGTGGAGAAATAATGTCACAAAATCATTGTTAGGTGCTTTTCCCTGCAGCTCGGTGTATGTGTTGAGAAAGTTGTTTCCGAGGATCAGAGGGAGATGAAGGTGTCTCAGGCACAAGCCCAACGTAGCAGGAATTACCGCGTGCATTGCTCGTAGCAGCCTCAAATTTTCACTGCGATTTCAGCGCTGGCAAGGAGGTCGTGAGATGTCTCAGCCCAGGGGAGATGTTCAGGTTCTTGTCTCAACTCATACCAGAGCTGAGAAGCCCTGGGTGCTGTGGAGAGATGCCCTGGTGTTTACACACCTCGTGTTTTGGATCTGCCTCGGGCTGTTTGGAGCCGTGGAGGTTTCTCCCCAGGTTGCAGAAGATTTCTGTGCCCAGCATGACAGGATTGCCCTACTGGGCTTTGTGCTTGAACTTCAGCCTGTTCTCAGGCTTAGTGCAGCCAAGAGTGTGAGACAGAGGGTGTGTTTAGTCTGCTTGTTGGTAATAGCAGTGAGGATCGATGTTCAGAACTTCACACCATGGGAAGATCTAAACCCCTGCTCCAGGACAGGCAGCGTGTGGGTTGGTTGGCACAGGGGGGATGTGGAGGGACGAGGCTGAGCACCCTGCTCATGAGCCCACCTTTGTGGCAGGAGGTGTGTGAGTTGGGTGGGAGCCGGCTGTTGCCCCCGGGGATCTTTTTGTGGGTACTGTGAATAAAGCTGTGAACAAGAGCAAGGATTTCCACATAGCTTTGTTTTGCTTGACCTTTTCTAAATGCCTTGTGTTGGGGTGACTGAAAAGCCCAAATTGTGCAAAACGCCAGGTTGTGTGGGGCTTGTGGACTCTAAGGGGACACCGGTGCTGCAGGAGAAGATGCACCTGATGGCCACTGTAGTTCCAACAGGAGTCCTCTGTGTCTGTTAACACCAATTACGGGCATGTTGATAAAATTTCCCATCCCTTAAAGCACAATTATCTCTTTAAGCAGCTCCCACTCTTAGAGCTGCTTTTCTGTCCAGGTATCAGTAGCCTCCTCTGCTTCTGCAGTGTAAATTGTTTGGTGTAGAAAGAGAGGCCGTCTGCTTCTAGTTATCTGCAGCAGGGTTTATGACAGCCTGGACCTTGATCTCCTTTATATTTGTGTGGGGAATAGCAGGGGAAGAGGGAAGTGGGCAAAGACAGCAGGTTCTCATTGACTTTTTTTTGGTTGTTTTTGTCTTGGAGCAACAGTTGAGCAAATCTGGTGTTACTGCAAACGTGGCCAGACTGCTTCTTGCCTGGTCTGATGAGGCTCTGCTGTAGTGAGGTGCTCTGAAGGCCCGTGCCCCACAGGGAGCTCTGACCTTCAGCAGCCCCCAGGTGCCTCTGGTTTAGCACAGCGGTGTGGTCCTGCAGCTTGATCTCAGCACCGCGTCCTCCCGCGGGTGGCCTTGCTGGGACGATGTGCAGCAGGCTCTGTGCATCGCTCCACGGCACTCACTCACCCCTCAGCTCTCTGGCCTCCCAAAATCTTCTAGTCTGGAAGAGGAGAAGGGTGCAGACATCTGGTGTCTGTGCTCAGCAGGACACCGAGCTGACCTCTTGCTGTAGCCTGCACCTCTGGCATGTTTGTTTCCAACAATCACTGCGTGAGGTTCTCCAAACCCAGCTTTGCATTGTTGATGCTGGTTTGACAGGGAAAGGGTGTTCCTTCAGGAGGTGATAAATGGATCTGTTGGGGTGACTTTGTGTGATGTGCTGGGGAGGTTTCTGTGGAGCTCTCAGGCAGGTGGGATTGCACAGATGTCTCCTTCCTCCCCCGGCACGTCGGGCAGGAGGGTGATGTGGCAGGGCTGTTGGTGTGCGGTGAGGAAGGTGGTTTGCTGTGATGAGAAACGAAATCTGACCTGAATGTTAAGATAGCTTAAAGCCTGGGAAGTACTCTGTGTTTCCTGAGTCAGCTCCAACCATCCCTACGGAGCAAGCAGTTGGTTTTGGGTTTTCTGAACCCTGAGTAAGGTAATGAGCTTTTTCTGCGGATGTTTGTTTAGCTTCAGCTCGGGCAGTTCATCTGACAAGCTTGAAATGGGACAGAGATATTTATTTATAAAGCACAGATAGAAATGGCACAGGGAGGGGTGAGCTTGCATTTAAATGGTGCATCTTGTTCCGTAAAACCAGCGCAGTTCCTCACCACACGTTCAAACTAATTTTTGTTCAGTATGCAGACATCAGTCTGTTTCGAGACCATGCTAAATTATCGTCAGGTAAAGCCCAATGTAATTAATTACAAATGAGAAATGCTGACAAATATTTGTCAAGGAGCTGCTTAATGAGTTTCAAATTCTGTGTCGGATGATTCCATCCACCTAGTGTAAATAATTTTTAAGCAATTGTTCCACTGAGTTTGTGTGATTTAGGCAGATGTTAGCTATGGCAGTTCTACCTATTGAGGGCACAAAATAATGCAAGACTAAATGGAGTAAAACTTAACAGCTGATAGCGGCTTTTAAATAGAAACAGTGCTGTTACACATACAAAATGTGGAAATAATGGGAGGTTTTAAAGATGCTGTGGTCTAAACAGCATGTCTGTGTGCTGTGTACACACAGTGTAACCCTGTGTGTGCATCTGAAGGCAGGAATTTGCTTTAATAACCATTGTGTGGTGCCCACCAAAACCACTCATCAATAGGTTGGTTGTGTGGCAGCAGAAGCTTGGGCTCGGACACCAGAACAACTGGCTGGCAGTGGGGTTTCTCCCCAAATCGTGCTCTTCACACCAGCCTTTTCGTGGCTTGATTAGCCTTTACTTAAAATCTCTGAGATTCCGACAGTTTGTCCTGCCTTGTCTCTATCCTTTTATATTTCAGAAGGAATTTGATCTTCGTGTCTTACCGCAGCAGCATCATAACATCAGGTGTTTGTTCAGTGCTGTCAGCAAATCTTGGTAGTCCTTCCTGTATTTATTGACTGCTTAGGTTCTTTGGTGTTTGTCCTAGTCTGTTTGCACACGCATGTCTTCAGATTTAGACCAGCAGAGAAAAGAAGGTAGTAACTAAATGAAGGTATCTGCGGATAACAAGTGGCATTAGGTTTTGTGTGACGCTGGGATATCATATGAAGCGATGTGCTTATTATTTTCATTATGTGTTTAGAGGAAACAGTAAATTGACCTGAGATCAAATTTTGAGATAACCTTGACAGAACAGCTGAATCTCTCGATGAAAACCCTCTGCGACCAGAGATGAAAAAACAGCAACCAAAACTGAAACCGGGACTGCGAGCAGCAGGATGTGTGTTCCACAAAAGGAACCTCTCGGGTAATTTTTGAAACCTACGTTACTATAATTTGGACATGTGAATAAAAGCCTGTTACTTTTCTGTGAGGCTGGGCACCCCCAGCTCCCCCCGATTCATGTAGCTGTTGAAGAGCTGTTATCATCTCTTCGCGCACATAATGACTGAGGATTGTGATCCTTGCATAAATACTCTTTTAAACTCCTGAAGGTAACAATGTAATGAAGGTGGGGATTTTTGCCTTTCCCATGGGTGGTAGTAGGAGGCACAATGGCCTTGAGTTAAAGAAGGAAGAGTTTAAACTATAAGGACAAGTTCTTTAGATAGATGTGATTCAAGTAGTCTCCACTGGCCCCGCTCTTTAAGCTCAACATTAATGGGAATTATACCACGTATCAATAGGACAAAAGACACCCTTATCCTTTTTTATCTTGGCATCTTTTTTTTTTCTCCTCTGCTATTTGGGTGAGAAAGTAAGCCCTTTCTCATTAAATATCTGGGGCCTCTGCTGGGATGAGGGAGTGTAAAGAAACAGATTTATAAAATAAGGGTAAAGGATCAGGAACTTGGAAGGAAAATGATCACTAGGGAAAGGCCAAAAAATCAGCAGAAAGACATCAAGGGGCTGAGTAATTGAAAGATTGAGTTACAACGCTGAGATCAATAGAGGAATATCAGGGACTGGATGGGAACACAACTGGAGGGAGATGTTCCTGGGAGCTGCAGGTGGGGTCTGCTCTGTGCCCTGGTGGGAGCCCTGCCCGCACTGCTGGGGAACGCTCAGCCCCTGCCTAAGTGTTGTTAAACCTGGTAACTCTTCAGCTGAGAGAGAGAGGCAGGATTCCTCGCTCAATGAAATGCCCCCCTTTCTCCCCATCTGTTAGTTTTTTTATTTTTTTTTAATGTTTCTGGCAATTTGAGTGGAAGACCCTTCCGTATTACACTGGGGGTCTGACCTGCAGCCTTGTAATTATCTGCAGCTAAATTAGAAGTTTAATCTTTGTTCTGAGCAACAATAAGTTGAGTCAGATAGGTTTTAAAAATAGCCTAAGCTCAAGTTTAGTGAAGTCTCAAATGCAATTAATAAAAGGGTAACGGAGTTAGGAGGTTGTGGGCTGAAACGTGGCAATGTTTAACTCTGAGCTTTCCTCTACTCAAACTGCAGCCTTCTGCGAGGGAAACTACTTGCGCTGTTTCTCTATGTTCATGTATATCATCCGTACGATTTATCAGCTCAGTATCTGTATTCTCGCTGGGGTTTGGCTTGGTGTGTGCCACAAATTACCAGCTGCATGCATTTCTTGTGTAGTTGGTTTGTTGTCGTGTTGACGTGGTGCCAAGCCATGGTGAAGACCACTTCAGAACATCACAGTCCTCTAAATTCCTTTGTTGTAAAATGGATATTATGAAAATCTACTTTGTAAGTAATGAGAAATGGCTAATGCAGGTAGGGATTTGTTTTGCTGTAACAGCAGAACGTGCAGTGGCAATTTGTCAGATCCCCAGCTCAGCTCCTGCTGTACTGTTTGCCTTTAAATAGTGTGTTACCTTAATATCTTGAGATTTTTCTCCTTGTATCTTGGCAACACTGCTGCTGAAGTTCACACACTCGTGTGCTGGAGAGGGAAGGCTTTAACCAGAAGGGTAAATCTTTAGTCTGGTAAACGCAATAAGGAGGAGTTTTGGTTCTGCCTTACTGTCTGCTGGAGCGGCGGCGTGAAAGTCTGCAGGGGAAGTGGGTTATTCCCCGGCACCGCGCGTATTTCTCTCTTTGTGGCTTTTTGCCTGTCAGGTGTAATTTGATCACGTTGCTTGACATTCACTCCTTGTGGATTTACTTGAGTTTTGTTCGGTGTGCTGCTTGGTCCTCCTGGTTTTAAGATCTCCCGAGATGAAGATGTGGTAGGGGTGCAGAGGTGTGTTAATATCCGCTGTGTCCAAGTGCCCGGCTGTCTGGACTTCAGGCTCTGTAATGCTGCTTGGTGCACTGATGTGATTGATATCCCAAGTCCAAGTGGGAATAGTTACTCCACAGCTATGCAGGAGATCAGCTTGGTGTTCTCTGCAGAAATGATCGCCCATTAATCTGGTGTGCACGTTTGCCAGCTTTACAGAGTGGAAGTTGCTTCTCCTCTAAAACCAGTGCTTTTATAAATTGCATCTTTTTGTGCTTTTGTTCGGTAGCAAAGGGGGAATTATAGGTTTGGAAATAAAAACACCAACAATCTGTTTTCTCCATCCACAAGCCCAGGCTTGCCCTTTGCTGGATGAGCCCATGACAATGAGCAGACTTCTCCAGCCTTCGAGGTGTGTGCTGTGCTGGGCATCCTCTGGACGGAGCCATCTGGGGCAGGTGTGGGGGTGCTGCAAGAGGATCATGCACACTGCAGTCAGAGAGGGAAATAGAGGTAGGTGCTAGAAAATTTAGGCTTAGATTAGCTGTAGGGTGGCTGAAGTTCTGGAGGGGTTTTCCTTGTGTGGCACTGTAGGTGTAGATGAGGTGTATCTCTCTTTCAGGTGTGTTTTGCACTCCCATGCAATTGTATGATGGACAGACCAAGAACTGAATTCATGAAGGTCTTTAAGAAGCTGTGCTCCGTAACGAGCTATGAGAGGGATGATTTTTTAAGAGGATGGCTGGTAACAGGTAACCAAGTTTGCAGATTGCTCTGAAGTGCCCTACTGCTGCTGTTAACTCACCCTCCTGGCACGCCAAAGGCATTTTTCATTACTTTGCCTGTGAAACGGAACCAAGAAGACAACTGGTTAGTGCCAACCTTTCCTGGACCACACACAGGTTGCTGTTGGCATGGGCAGACCTCTCAATGTGAGGATCGGCTTTTGTGATGCCTCTTCTCATGGGTATGGTGGGAGTGGAGGAGAGGCAGCAGGATAAACCAGCTCTTTGATATAAAATGTGTTGGGAGCATCCTTCCAGGGTCCTCCAGACGCTGACATCTGGTCCCCAGCTTCCCCAGGACATGGGCAGGAGCTGGGAGGTGCTGCTGTGGCAAGAGCTGGATAACATGCTCTCTCCAGCTTGCTCCAGAGCTGGCCAGATGTGCTGAATGGCCAGGCACAGCACAAAACCCATTGGAGAGGGGCTGGGGCAGAGAAAGTAGATTTGACCTCAGAGGAGGCCCTGTGGTAAGAAGGCAGAGGAAGAAGTGCTGCTGGTGGGGACAATTTATGTTGCAACTCTGCTAGCATTGTGGGTTTTAATGCATGTCAAGGGCACTTTGACCTTTGAATGGAATCTTCTGGTGTGAAATTGTGTCTTTTCTCCTTTCTTTTCTTCCCTTAAAAAAAAATTCAAAATAAATACTGAAAATCAGAACCGTCTGTTTTGAGGGGACAAAATTGCCTCTCTTTATTTTATGTGATTTGGATATTACTGAACGATTAAAAGTCCTAGTAATTTCTACTGGCTGGCTGTTGTGCTTATAGGCAGTGACTCTTCCAGCATTAGTCACTTTAACTATGGAAAAAAATAATAAAAATGCAATTAATGTGGCTCAACAGCTGAGTCGGCTGGACTTTCAAAAAAAAAAAAAAGTAAATTTTAATGAGTTCTGGGATCAGAAAGATACATCTGGTGGATGGATTTGCCAAGTTTTCAACCTCAGAATGTGTGTTGAAAAACTCAGTGAATTATGTAACTACAAAAGTGGATCTTTGCATGTTTATAAGACCTCAGTGCAATCTCCTTATATTTGCCTAATGACAAACAGACATTCTCGCGGAGAGGCAGCCCAGAAGGACACACATATGCTGGAAGGGCTCTGTAAGCTGATAGCGTTTGTATCAGAATGCGGCTACCAGCAAGGGAATTTCAGTGCATCCATTAAATGAAGAAATAAATAAAAATTAAATCTTGGTCTTGGATGAAAGAAAATAAAAGGAAGGGAAGGGGGAGGGGAGAAGGCGGGAGGCAAGGAAGCACCAAAACTTTAAATGTACGTGATGTGTGGGCTACGATATTGTGCCTCCACTGCTGAACCAGAAAATTTATAACAACTGTTTGTCATGTGTATGTATTTATAGCCATTCACATAATGAAGAAGTTTCATGAGGTTGTAATAACATATCAAGATGGATGTAATTAAAACAGAAGCAAATTGACACCTCTAGATTAAAGGCAAACTCTAAACTAATACACCTGTACGCTGTCACTTATGTATTAGTTGTCTGGGGCAGTCTGCCAGATATGCAAATAAAAAGACATTGGCACATTTCCTTGGATGTGTGGTTATGAAAAACCCAACTATTTAATCTCTTACCTAGCCCTTTTCAGGTTTGTAGCAACAGCAGAAATCCTTTATTTGGTGTCACTGATGCCTTGTGATTGGAGAGGGTAAAAAGATTTGGAGAAGTGGGGATAGGAGCAAGAAATACAGCGCAGGTGATGGACGTGGAGAAGTGTTCTTTAAATGGGAAACTTGCCTGAGAAAAGAGGTGTCAGCTGGGCTGTTTCAGATCTGTCCTAACTCTCTCTCAACTCGAGAGGAGTAAAGAGTCCTTCATGTTGACTTAGTGTTTGAGCTCAGGTAAATGCTTTTGAAAATTGCGCTGTAGCAACAGATGTTGGTCCTCGTGCTGCAGGTGACTGAGGTTGCCAGTAAGAAATGCCTCTAAAATGTATGTATTTCAGATATATTGGAACAATTCAAATCTGATGTAAATCATAAGTGAGTCTATGAAATGGCTGTAAAGTATCTTAGCAATTTGATATAATAGTATTTTTTCAACTTGTTTCAATTTGCAGAAACCTAGTATTTGCCAGTGGAGCCGTGGACACCTGTGTGCTGAATTTAAGCCGGCAGTTGACACATTTACTCTCTGAATCAACTTTCTTGGAGTTTTTAGAGTTAGTTGGCAAAATGCTGATTATAAAATAGTGTGTTGGTATGGAGCAGGAGGGGAATGACCTGCCTTGTTGGTTGCAGGCAGGTGAAGGGAAGTACCGGGCTTTCCTCTGAGTATCTTGCATCCAGATAACCTGCATTCCTTGAAAAGCCCCAGGCATGGAAATGGGTCCTCACACGTCTTGTGTGTAACCCATGTGGCTGCCAAACTGGGTTTTCTGTTACACAGATGGTGCCAGCACCTGAGATGGCTGTTTGAAAGACCTCACCTTCTGTGGGTTTGCTGGCATCTCCTCCGTGAGTGGCTGTCCCAGAGCCCTGCTTCCCTCCGCTGCTTCCAGCGACCTCCTCTGAAGTTTGCAGACCCTTGGGCTGCAAACATAAATCAAACAGCTTTGTTAGGAGATGTATATGACTGATTCTTGAGAGCTTAGTGATGCCCAGAACTCAGCTGGGCTTTGAAATGCGGCTTGAAGCTCTTTGCCCTATTGGTGCTAAAGTGGAGACGTGGCCATGGGCTTTGTGGGGCTTCGTGGTCCCAGTGGGCTGCTGCCCTGCCAGGGCTGGGATCTGTGCTGCTGCAGGGGTGACTGCACGATGTGGGCATTCTCAGGGAGCTGCCTGCATAAAAGCTCCAGTGCTTTGTTACACTTCTTCTGAATTATAAAGGCTCCTTTTTAATACATCTGGACACTAAAGATCAATCGTGCTAGGTACGAGGCTTCAAAGTGGTTTGAAATGGTAGGATTTTTGTCTTCAATGCTTCAACAACTTTTCTTCCACCTTTAATCTTTCATGAGCAGAAGCTTCAAAAGATAATTAGTAAAACATGCTTTTATCTGCATTTATCTCAAAACATGATTAATTTTTTAACTGCAATTACAGCAATCATTTCAAGTTTCCTCTATATTAATGAGTAAAGGATTTTTTTAATTTTTTATTTTGAAAGAGAGAGCCTAAATAGGACTGTATTGGCTGGGTTGAAAGGTACGTTTATGAGTGTGCTTTTTGTTTTCATTGCTAGGGATTGAATTTCCGGTTCCAGGAAGTAATATTTCACATGGATTAAAGTCTTTGAAATGCTCTTGCCCAGCTTCCCTGGATCATTTTGAGGAGCTGACAATAATAGGAGCTGGATCAGGCTCTTGCTGGACCTGGCTGCCCAGCCACGCATTCCCCATGTCGCTGTACCTTTTTGCACTGTGCCGTGCACGCGTGACCGGTGGGATATCCTCTGCCTGCCGCTCTTGGCATTGAAACGTAAGAAATACGATGCGGGTGGTTTGTTGCTAATGAGTTGGCAATGAAGTTGTAAATTTTCACCTTTACAATTTCTGTCTGTTATAGGCAGCTTAAGGCGTTTTTTATTACTATTTCACTTCTGTGAGAAAGATGTTCATGCCTGTGCCTTTCTTTATTGCTGGTGGCTGTGTAGGACAGTGTCCTGCCTGTAGGGCTCTGTGGGATGTAGGACCACCTCCTGGCTGTTGGTCCTATGCGTGGTTTACCCTGGTGCCCCTAGAAAACAGTGCTGCTGGCACAGGTATCCCGGAGCAGGTATCCAGGGCTTCAATCAATTAAAAACTTTTTCCACTAAGCTGCTGCTTTTGTGTAGCTGTGTCCCATGAAAGGTGCTCATCAGCCCTGCATGCAGAGGAGGGAGCTGTGTGGCTGGAGTGGGCTGTTGGCGGCTCCGTGCCTCCGAAGGACTCAGCCCTGGGGCTGCTTGGAGTGGTGCTGGGCTCTGGGTACCACGCAGGGGCTGGTGCTTGCTCAGCAGATGGAGCAGGCACTTGGAGCTGCTGCTATAGGAAGCATAATGACCTGATTTTTTAGTTTTTGATTTATCCCCCCCTTCAGTTAGGCCCTAGTCTGGGGTGTCAGAGGTGTCTCGGAGTGAGCCTGCACAGCCTTGGTTCACATCTGAGTTTAGCTTCTAAACTGGGATTCGAGTTACCCTGCTCTGCAGTCTCTGGGGAGGTGGATGGGACGATGACCCCAGCAGTGAATTGGGCAGCTGCATAGGAAAGCATGCAAGTGTATAATCAGATTTCTGATAAACCCAGGTCTCAAAGTCTCTTGAATGGGTAGCTTTGCTGTGAATAGGCTCGTGAGGTCTGCTGTGGCTGCTCTCTTTGTTTGGTACCCTGACAAAAATTGCTCTGGTATCCTTGTTGGCATATTTTTACATCTGTTATCCATATTTTGGATTTGTTCTGGCTGCGGTCTTATTTTCTTTTGCAAAATCTACCTGGGTTTGGGACGGAGATATATGTTTACTAAGGCAGATTTGGAAATTGCATTGTTGAAATACAGCCCATATGGGCTATTGTAAAATGGTTACTGCAGCATATAATTGCCTTCACAATGATGTGCTTTGTCATTTCACTTCCATCTTCAAAGAGGCTCTCCTGTAGTCTGCTGACAGCAATGGTGGTATTAGAAAACATATGGATTTGTAAAGGCATTAAACTGTCTTTAGTTCAAGGATTAGATTACAGCGTTAGAGTATGGGTCACCACGTTTTCATGCGGATAGGCTGCACTCAGCTCTGTCAGGGTGTGCTGTAGGTTAGGGAAGGGTTTGTTTGTTTATTGGAAATACCTGGCACGATGTTCCCCTGAGTGCAGGGGGAAGGAGGTATCTCTTCTGCTGTTGCATGCTGTCCATCCCTCTGTCTGTCTGTCCCATGTGGATGGCTGAGCTTGGTCTGGGCTGGCCAGCCTTGGAAGATGTCTCAGAGGGAGGGCAATGCCAACTGCAATGTGGAAAAACGCACAGAACAGAAGGACCACAGTGCTGACTTCTGAAACCTTGGGGTTTTGTCAGTCCTCTGTGCTGGGCTGCTACTCAGCATGTTTTGAGCATTTGTTTGTATTATGTTTGCATATAAAGGATGCATTTAAGCTGTACAGCTCCCCATGTTTTGGAGCACAGGGCAAACCTTCGGATTTTGCTGCATCTCCACCCACACGGTCCCAAGGGTGGATTTGCCAGTGCAGGTTTGAGGTCTGCAGTGCCCTTTTCCGGGCTGGAGCTGTGCTCCTGCTCCTCCTTTACACCCTCACAAGGGGAGAGCTGGAAGTGGTAATAGGCAATAAAGACCCTTCTGTTTCAGTTTTGTCTCTTCTCTCTAAAACTTGCTGCCTGCTCAGGTTTGTGCTCTGCCCAGCTGGAACATGGGAGCTGCACTTGTGCTGCTGTCACCGGCTGCTGCCCCGTGGGGTTTGGCTCATGCAGGTCCATCCCAAGCTATGCCTCCAACTGCTCTTGTCCTTCAGACACTGTCTTTAATCAAGAGTGCTGTTCCCTAGGAGGTACAGGCTTGTCCTTGGGTAACCACAGCCCACTTCCACGACCTTGCTCGGAGCCCTGTGTATGCTCGTGGGGAGGTGCCATGTCTGGTGTCTTGATTTCATTTGGGTGTCTTGACAGAACGCAGCAGGTCTATGGGGACAGTGCTGATGTGTGAGCTGCTATTTAGCGTGAA